GAGTACATTATTTTTAGAAAATAAAATTGTACATTAGAAATAGGAGCCCGAATGGTAAAAAACCTAACCTTAAAAAAATAGAACTTAAAATGTAATAGGGATGTAGCATTACTATAGTAGGATCGTATTCGATGTGAGTAGAGCAAAAAATTGTCGGTCTTTTATCAAAGGAAAATCGTGTCATCATTTTTAGGAGGCGTAAGATAAATCATTTCAAATTTAAAATGAAATTCAATGTAAAATCTGAAATACCGCTGCATACGCACTGTGTTCTGGTAGTAGCTGTAGTCGCCCAGGTGCATCGAGTGTACGAAGTGGTCGGTTATACGTCGAATACTAACCTGGCGAGCTTGATCGTAAAACAGAAAGCGCCTCCAAAAAACAAGTAAACAACAGTGGCGCGTACAGAGGTAAAATGTAGTACATATGTGGAAATTAAAAAACAAATTGAATCTATAATAAATTACATTTAAAATAAATAGTTTATGAGAATAAAGGAATTTTTGTAGGAACAAGGGTGCCAGACGTGAACTGATCCCTTCGTCCCTTCATAATGTATAAAGAAATTATTCAATTTCCAAAACCCTTAAAAGCGTATGGCACTGGATCCCTTGACAGGCAATTTATTACTTTGCATCGAATATGATCCTACTATAATTAAGACTTACCCTGTGATACATCTAATAATTTTTTGTACATTTTGCGTTTTCCTTTCACGTTTTTTTTGTCTGTTTCAGCTGTCTGCATGATAGGCGGCTGCGCAGTCTTCCCTGCGGGCTGGTCGGACAACAGCGTGCGCAGGGTGTGCGGTTCCGCAGCGGATAAGTACGCTCTCGGCACCTGCGGTATCCGCTGGGCTTACCTTTTGGCTGCCATAGGGTGTCTGGACGCCGTCATCCTGTCCACCCTCGCCTTCATTCTAGCCACCAGGCACGTGAGGCTGCAGCCAGATCCCCATTACGCTGCGGCTAGTCTCTTTAAAGGTAAGGAATGTCACTAATAACAAAATACACTGACTGGGTCAAGTATGACAAAAATATATATAGTTTTTCTTCAATATTTTTTGACATATTAGGTCCAAATATGTGTCAAAAAATATTGAGGAAAAATGTTTTTTTTTATCTTGGACCCATTGTATGTTTGTTTTTATTAACGTTTGCACTAATAGTCCAGGGAGCCAAGGGTTTCCCCACCGAATTCTTTCGGATAGAACCGATTAACGTGAAACTTAGACTGTAAATAGAAAATAGCTCAAGAAACAAAAGTTATGTAGTGCTGACGAGTGCTTTTGCCTAGGGGGTAAAAAATAAAATATTGAAAATAACCCCAGAAATCGATAAAGCAATCAATTTTAAGCAAAAAGTGTCTTATGAACATTTTTCGTTATTGTGATTGAAAATGTACATTTTTTTTATTAAAAAAAGACGTTTTTCAGTAGTTTTTCTCGAATAACGCGGAAAATAGACATTATATGAAAAGAAAACATCACGAAGAAAATGAAGCTTATAGAAAAAGAAAAATATTGAGATTTTTTCATTTATGTAGGTGCAATAGGTGCTGAGATACGGCTGGTCGAATATAATTTCATGTCCGCCAGAAAAAAGCATTTAACGTGAAGTAATAAAAAAAATATATATTTTTCAAGAAAAATGCACATAACATTTTTTAAAGTACTTTAAAAAATCTTTAAAATGAACTTAACTTTGAGTCATTAGTATAAAAATTAGTTATGATCATAATAAATAAGAATAAAACTGTTAATTCGCTTTTTCGGAAAAAAAAATCGGTACAATAACTGATGAAACTGATTTAAAATTAAAGTTAATCCTTCTACAATTCACATTTTTTTATGTGCTAACAATACAGTACTTTCGAAAAGTAACGAATGAATTCATTATTTTTTAAATTGAGAAGTTTTCGAAAAAATCCCCTGGCACGTCGATTTTGTTTTTAAAAAAGACACTTTGACATACGACCCATATTTGTGACGTCATCGTTGTTCGAGATATGACGTCATCGACAATTTTTTTTTAATTTATCCTATTTGTACTATCAAATTATTTCATACTGTTAAAAACTATTTTTTTTTTAATATTTTGTCATTAGGGGTTGTTTTTTAAGGGTTGAAATATTGTAATAAATTATTTATAATACCATAAACTATTTAAAAGATTTCTATCTATAATATTATGTGCTATAAAAATATTTTAAGGTCAAAGAAACTATTAATTTTACATTTTTATCATTAAGGGTGATTTTTAAGGGTTGAAACTTTATAAAAATAACGTAAATTATAACTCACAATGTAAAATTATATTTATTCTATATATTAAGATATGATTTTAGTTTATATAACACCTATTTTTATATTTATTCAGGTTTTTAGCATAAGGAGTGGTTTTCATCCCCTAAAAATAAGAAGCGGATATCAAGCATATATAACTTTTCATCTACAGGGTAAAATAAGCTTAATTCCAAATTTTCATAAAAATCAGATCTATCCGAAAGTATTCGGAGGTTTTACCCAATTTTTCTCTTCGGTCCCTGGACTATAAGGCAAGTTGGATTAGATCGGCCTATTTTGACAATTAAACCTACCATTCAGTATGGTCCATTCGTTCCACTCTGTATATTGCATTAATACTTACAGAACACCATGTACAGAGTGTTCCGCTTAACTTTTCCACCGACTAATCTCGGTTAGTTTTGCAGATATAAAAATAAAAGTTGTAGTGTTTTTATGAAGTTTCTGCTTGTGGTAACAAAAAAACAATTCAAACTTAAATGTCGATGCAACAGATACAATTTATTATATTTTTAATGGAACACCCTGTATATTATTACATTTTTTAGATGTAAAATTTTATTCTATGCTATAGGACAATATCGTTTTATTTTTTCAATGTATTTCACTTCTTTCACAACACTCAGTACACGAATTTCTTTGGCAAGACTGAATATGTTTTGTTTTTTGCTTCACTCTTCTATGGTAAATAAATTTTCGAACGCGTATGAAGTCAAACGTTAAAAGGATCAGTATGCATAAATTGTCTATCCTTAACCTTTTCAAAATACCACCCATGGAATTATTAGCATGAGATTTCTTGTTTATTATCGCCTTTGTTTGACATATGTGTAGGCTGCGGCCTTTTCACATCCTCTCCTATTAATGTTAATGGCTCTGAAGAATGTCAAAAGTGTTGAAGCAGATGGTTGAGACACTAGAAAGACAAAATAAACAGATACATTTCTACCACCTGAATTGAGTAAGATCGTTTTAACTTTTTCTTTTTGGATAATTTGTTTCCAATGATTTCTATAAAATTTTGCACGCATGTTATCATTTTTTGGTATTCAACCATGTTTTGTTTACATAATTTCCGTTGGTGCAAGAAGCCGATGGTCCTTTATTTTCTGGCCACTTCTAAAATGTCATAGTATTCTAATTGGAGATGTAGCAATTCTAAAAAAAAACATTTTTGCTGAAATCTCGCTGCCCTAAAAAAATACTAACCTAAAAAGGTCGAAATCTGACCTTTAAATGATCTTGGAATAAAAAAAAAACTCCAACTACTCTCCTAATGTAAAATTTATCGCTCTTTCAGAATCCGGGGTCAGAAATTATATTACCATCAAAAAATTTAAATTGACCTTCAACTAACCTTGAATATGAGCTAACTTCATAAAACTGACACTGGATTCGGATTCAGTGACCCTTACGATGTATGGGCGATGTAATCAAAATAAACTACTCTGATTTCACGTGGAAAACACTAAAAAACCCTCTTTGTTCTCCAGGTGAAATGAACAGCGCCTTCGTGGGCGATTCGGCCAGCGTGGCAGGATCGAGAAAGTCCATGAGCATCCACCCAGTCCTGCTGATGCATCCGGGACAGGACGACACGTACTCCCAGTTCTCCCAAAGGACGGTACCGAGATCCACCCATTCCAGCCATTACTCCCATCCCCACTCGCTTCATCGGAATTTTCAACTATGAACGTTAGCCTGAGGATGACCGTACGAAACGGGCACTTCAACTGCGACTTGATAGTGGAGTAGTGTGGGGTATTGCTGTATTAGGTCTGGTTGCGGACTACTGATTATTTTTTTTATTTATGTATAATACTCGTAGTTACTTATTAAGGTTTATTTTTGTAAAAAAATTACAAGTGTCATTGATTGTGGATAACGGATATGCTGCTTTATTTGAGAGTTACTGTGGTGATGATTAAAGAAAGCAGGTATACTGTTTTTAACGCTGAATTGTAAATAATGTATGTGAAACTATTTTTTAATAAAATAATTATTTATAAATATTGTCTTAAGAGCATCATTCTCACAAAGGAGTATTTCCTAAAAACGGAAAATATTTATGGTAATTGTACAGGCTGGTCCATTTTCGATGGGAATTCAGGGTATTTCAGAAACTACTAAAGATATGATAAATCTGACACCACGTTCTCGAGCTCGATTTTCATGGCAAACTCGACAGTCAGATCGGAAAGCTACCTTCATTTGTTTCTGAGTTACAGGACGTTTCTCGTTATTGTGACACTTTTTAACATGTCTGTATCTCAGCTGTTAAATAGGTTAGAGTTAAAGTGAAAACGGCTCAAGACTAATTCTAATAATGTTAGATTTTTAGTAGATCTTAAGATTTCGAAGTTATGAGTTGACCCATATTTAAATTCCATTTTTAAATGGAAATCGTAACTGACCATGGCCTAAAAAAATAAAATTTCACTTTTCAGCAATATATCACACGCTATAGTTATTTTTACAAACACGGGAGATACGGGGTGTTTTATATATAAATTAATATTTTTTTCCTTTTCCATATGACCGGCCATGAAAATACAGATAAAACTATAATTCTTACTTTTACAAAAGTCATATCTATTGTAAAAATATGACATTTATTTTAAATGCACACCATATACTCGTGTGATAATATTTTTACGAAATTTTACGAGATAGGTGGATAGGAACAAACGGACCGATCAGATGGCCAGCTAGGTTATCTGATTTGAGTCCGTTGGACTTTTTCCTTTGGGGTTTTCTAAAAGACATTATATTTAAAATTCCTTTTCAATACCTGTACATTTAATGAATGATACCCGAAGCGTTGCCAGAAGATGCGTGGAATGTGTGACAGTTGAGGAACGACAATTTGAACATTTAGCTATCATTTTTGAAAGTTTTTATTGATGTTGGTACTTACTATTGGTTAATTTACGTTCAATATTGCAACTTCAGTTGAATTGGAATAAAAATTTGAAAACTCTGTCTTTTCTTATCTGTAATATATATTTTAAATAAACGTCATATTTTTACAACAGATATGAGTTTTGTAAAAGTAAGAATTATAGTTTTGTATGTATTTTCATAGCCAGCCATATTAAAATGTAAAAAAGGATCGAATTTATATATAAAACACCCCGTATCTTCTGTGTTTGGAAAAATAACTATAGCATGTGGCATATTGCTGAAAAGCAAAAAAAAAATCTCCATTTTTTTAGGTCATAACCAGCTACGATTTCCATTTTAAAAATTATAACTTTGGGTCATAACTCCGGCATCTTAAGACCTACTAAAAATCTAATACCGGCATTAAATTCTACGCCAAAGAATTAGTCTTGAGCAGTTTTCACTTTAACTCTAACTTATTTAACAGCTGAGATACAGACATGAATAATCTGAAAACGCATTAGTATCATCTTTGTCGTTGATATTGCGGTTGTATGATACAGAAATGGGTACAGATCTATTTTTATTTTGGCTTGCACCAAAAGTGTTTGGTGTTTAATGTTATTTCCGTACGTATTATTGATAGTATACAAACCAGATTAAACATCCCAATTTCCAATCAAGATTCTTGCATTTGTTCCTCATATACTACCACCTAAATTAATATACGTAACTCTATAAAATTATAGACCATTAGGCAAGCCAATAAATACATTTATTAGTTTTAGTTACATGACAGAAACGGTTTTGTTTTATCCACCAAACGAAGCAAGAAATACGGGATTATGTATCAGTTTCAAGATTACTGTTTTCAACTCAAAAAACTAACTCTTCTTTTTATTTTGCCGGACTTGCGCAAGAGAAACGGATATTTCCAAGAAAGGGACACAAAGCTTTCTGGAGAGGGTTTCCAGGACTTCCAGTTGATCTCTAGAATAACGTATACCTCCTTCGGAGTCTACCTTTTTCATGTGCATCCGTTCTCTGTCTCCAGGTACCAGGATCGATTTCGTACACTCAGCCTATTAGGATAACATAAGATTCTTGATATAAAACGCTATTTGCTCTCGCCTTGGTAACTAGATCTATAGATACTATAATAAAGCAAAATATCAAATGGTTTATTACCGATTCCATGTCTCTGAGTTGATTCAAGAGTTTCGACAGTCGCGTGGCGAAATTTGGGACGAACTTTTCGGGGTTTATCGCTATAAAGCCGTGACCTAGGTTCAGCGGTTCGCATTTGCATTTTCCTAAAGTGTTTGGAATCTTTGATCCATAATTGGAATCTAGCAAAAAATATGTTAGAACAAAGCCAACTTAGAAACGATTCTGTTTGTTTTATTATAAGAATTAAGGACGTCGTCCCCACAGAGGAGTATTTTCAGCAAATGTAAAAGAAACGAACTTACTAGACTTATATCTGAAGTTAAAACATAACGGTACCTGCCAAAACCCCGCTTAAAACTTCAACGAGCAAAGCCAAACCGAAGCCCTTGTGGCTCTGTTCTGCCCCCAAGGGACACAACTTTTTGAAAATCATAGCTTTGTCAGGATCCTGTTCTACCTCTCCTTTCTTGTTTAAAGCCCATCCTTTAGGGAGATCGGCTCTTTTGTCTGCATATTTTTTTATCTGAAGAACAAACTACGTTATTTACGCACGCTATTTTCTTTTGTGACATAACCTTGGCAAAAGTTACTGCTGTGGTGGACATATCCACTACCAAGAAGTCGCAGTGTGCAGGTGCGGCTATAGATAAAGGATTTGCTCCCAGTGCTACCTGTCAAAATAGTTTCTGTTTAAATTTCTCTTAAAAGAATGTTCAAATTACTTCTAAGCCACCTGGAGGCACCAGTTGAGGAACTCCGTTGCTGAAACTCAAACCGATGTACCCTTTCTTCACGGCTTGCATGGTGTACAGAGATGCCATGCCGTAGTGGTTGGATCCTATATAGGAAACTGGTCACATTAAATTGGAAAATCGTATTTCAAAGTTCTCTATCAACAACTCGGCGGTAAGTGCACGGTTGTAGATAAAGTATTGTACATAATACTCGTGGTAAGTGAGTTTAATATGTTATTACTTAACTCTAGCTGCTACCATGCCAATTCCGGAGCCTAGGGCTTTTTCCATGGCTATGTCCATACAGAATTTTCCAGTAATTGGTCCCAGACCGTTGTTGCCGTTTACCACGGCCACCGAGGTGAATTCGTCTTCAACCGTTGGAGTAGCTTTTGGATCGCAGTTGCGACACTCGATTTCATCAATGTACTGTTCTACAAACAAAAGAGTTCATTACTACGTGTTGTAAAGTGTGTAAGTAACCACGAGATGTGACAAATACATATTTGTTGTGGTAAAATATGCCAAAAAATCATCATGAAGTTGGAATTGGGTATGTCAAAGGAAAGATGATTTGGAACCTTACAATTTCTTGTTCACTTTGGTGATGCTAAAGAGCAGACAAAATAAATTTCAATATTTAAACTTTACCAAGCCTGGAAACTCCCTCGCTGAACATCCCCCTGTAATCTGCCTGAATGATGGCTTCTGCGAGGGTCTCCGCATTCGATTCCGTGACCCCAGAGCTGGAAAAACAGTCAGCTACGAATCTTTTAATGTCATTTAAGGCAATCGGGGGGTACATGGATGTATAGTCTGTAAAATTGAACTTGTTATCCAGAATAACCCTTAACATACATAGTTTTTATTACTTACCGCACTCGCAATATTGTCGACTTACAATGTTTTGGGCTATCCTGGTCGTTTGGGACACGAAATTGTAAAGTATGTGCAGCATTTTTATAGATTGGAATATCACTATAACAATTTTGAAGATATACGCAGGGTTTATGACAGTAGTTATGTCATTTTGACAAGTATTACAATTCTAACAAAGCATAACAATTTTAATAATTTGTCATTTTTTGGTCGTTTCAAGAAACTGAAAGGCGACAACTCTTTCGGCACCTTGGTTCGGCTTAGAACCGAGTGATTTCTTGCATCGGTAAACAATATTTAATTCGTAATCTAAAGAAAAAAATCGGTTCAAAAAAATGTAAAAAAGAATTTTTTTTTCATAATATCAAATGCTTTCTGCAATAAGAATGTAAAAAAACTCTGGAAAAAAAATGTTTTTCATTTTTTTTTAAATTCAATCGAATGAAACAAAAAAACGACTTGATGGATCGAATTGAACCTCTGTAGGGCTTTTAGGGGTACAATGACCTGTAAAAGACACACTTAACATTAGTCATTTTCCCAATATTCTCAATGTGGCACGTGATTTTCTAGAGGGCCCCTAAAAGTCCTATTTTTTACGATTTTTCAGTCATGTTAAGGATAAAAAATTTTTTTTTCTAAAAAACCGTGCCAGGACCTTGTAGATAATTCATTCAAGTTTCAGAAACCCACCGTCGATTTTCTGTGCAACCATTGGTTTTTGACATATCGATGAACAAAGAGAAAATGATCCATTTTCATTCAAAGTCCGATAGCTCAGCGAGAAATGGTCGTATCGGGACCAAAAAATAAAGAAATTGAAGCTAAATGAAGAACCTATCTAATCCATAAGGTGGTTAAGTTGGAAAAATTTTTTTCAAGTCCGTACACCAAAAATAAGATCGAAAAAAATTTCGAAAAATTCTTTAAGATTGCGCGATACGTGTTACTTGAAAATTTTTATTTTTCCAAGATCCAAAAATTAGAAACTTTAAGCTTCAAATTGCTTTTTTTTTATTCCAATACGACCATTTTTATCAAAGATACAGCCATTTGAAAAACCGCCGAAAATTTAGATTTTTTTTGATCCCTTATTTTTTTCCACTAGTTTAGTTTCACTAACAGCTCTCACTGAATTTCTGCTAGTCCATTGACTTTATTGGCTCTAGCAGCAACTATTGCTGGAATATTATCCATTCTGCCTTTTCAATATGTCTCCTCAGAATCAATCATCAAACTATCAAAATCAACAAATTTGCGGGTACCATAGATACATCTTGGTACATCGTTTGTATATTCAAAAAGTGCTTTCATTATCATTTACATTTAATTATTAAATTTAAAATAAATATAAACTCAGATGTCTAAGTAAAAAATAAAACGTTGTATGCACCACGGGAGATACTAGGATAATTATGCCCTTAGGCGACTTGCTAACCTATACTATTTTTCGTATTTCCATTACAGTTAACAACAGAACAAGTATATCACAATATATACTAATTGCACTAGTTTGGTATTAATATTTAATACAAAATGAACCGCAAAACCAAGAAAAAAACGTTAAAATAACGCCAGAAACTAAATAAGGTTACGTAATGGCGCGATACAGATTTCCTCTGTGGTTGTGGTGTATTCGCCAACGAAACGACTTCAACTGGCGTCACAGAGAATCCCATGACCTTTCCATACGCGTGGTATTGGTTTACCATAGTAAAATTATAACACGATGGGTTGTGGATAAAAATTGCTACTGCTTCAAGTTGTTGCATTTATTGTCGATGATTTAAAACATTGTGCCTCCAGAAAATATAAATAGAGAATCATACGTGTAAATTTGTGTGTAAATCAACAAGAATAATTTAAATATCCTGTAAATATTATATATTTACCAGGTATTAATTAATAACAATAACAATTGAGCTAGGTGACTAAATTTTTTATCACATAGTGGAACGTTTCGTATTTTTAAAATACTTTTTGTGATCTGGCAAGGAACATTATCATTAGAGAATAAATGGATTCTTGGAAACCATCGGGGTGACTTTGAGTTCTTCGGCTAGTTTTGCGTTGGTGTCGTGCTGGTTTTGTACATACAGAAATCCTCCATCTTTCTTCACTTTTTCCATGTGTATTTTTTCTGGATCTCCGTGTACTAGAACTGGTTTGTTGGGATCAAACTGAAAAAAAGTGCGAGGTCATTTTTTTCAAAATTCAACAGGATCTTAGCACACATGCTACCAGATAATCTTAAAGTTGTTTCAGTTATCAGTTAGACGTCGTTTTGGGTTGAAATTAAAGAATATATTTTTGTAATTGCAAAATCAACAAAATAATTATCTTCAAATTTCTATATGGCCCTAAATTAGCACGTAAAATATCAGCCCGATGTGTAACTTCCGTAATGTGCCGTTATTGTAATCAAACTCCTTTGTAAATAAAAAATGTTACGCTACTGGTGTAGATTTCATATAGAAAGGAAAGAAATGTTTGAAAGCATTTTGTCTGTCTTTATTAGGCCTTCCGAATACGTGGTTATAATTAATGACACTATGACTTAGTCACCCTGTATGTTAAATATTACTAAACGAGCTCATTCTTTAGTACTTACTGGTTCCATGTTTCTTAGGTAATCCATCAAGTCGGACATTCTATCCTCGAAACCATCAGCAAAGGCCTTCGGGTTAATAGCGATGAAAGCTTGTCCAAGATCTGCCACCTCACTATGGGCACCCCACTTTCTAACAAACGGGCCGTATTTTGCTCCTGAAACATCAATAAAGTCAAATTTAATCAATGGTTTCTCTTTTTAATACCCTTATTTGTAAAAAATTACCTGACAAAATCCCGCAGAATATTTCCACCAACATCCCCAGTCCATAACCCTTGTAACCGGAGTTTATTTCCGTCCCTCCAACGGGCATAAGTTTGGCCGCTTTGTAGGCCACGTCGGGATCTGTCTCCACTTTCCCCTCGTGGTTTAGGGCCCATCCTTCTGGGATCGGCGTGCCTTTCCTCCTTGCCAGTTCTATCTGATCGAAAATATGTCTTAGAATGATATTTAGCGATCATCGAATTAAGGTCACTGCATAAGGTTAAATTCCTAAAGGAAAACAGCTTACGTTTCCCAAAAATAAAAGTAAAAGTAACTGCAAAACTTCCTTGGATACATTTTCATTATGTTTTCCCTTAAAATATTTCGCCAGAGGAGGACTTTGTTTTCAAATTTCCATCAACAATAGTTATTTATGATATGGCGCCATACAAAATTTTATCCAACGCTTTCATAGAATTTCGTTTTATTAATAAAATAAAAGTAACTTAAAATTTCAAGTTGTCAATGTTAGAAAAAGTAATTTAACTAAATGAATGTATTTTTAAATATGTATTACAAAGGATGTGAGTATCAACCTAAATTGTGTCTGTAACCAAGGGTTGTTAGTAAACAAACAATATTTTTTGAGTTGAAATCACACTGAAATCCTAAAATCAAGACTGAAGAAATGGAAAATGTGGAAATTCCATCTGAAATGTTAGAAAAAGCTAATGCGGCTATTGCAGGCATCATTCCGGAGAAATCAAAATCTATATACAACAAAGAACTGAAGGAATTTCGAGAATGGAAAATCAAAGAAGGGCTGAAAGTCGTAAATGAAGATGACTTGCTGGATTATTTTTTCAATTTAAGTGAGAAATTAGCTCCACCCACATTGTGGACTAAATATTCCATGTTGAAGTCAACTTTGAGTGTTTACAAGAACATTGAAATTTCTATATTCGCAAGACTAGTGGCATTTCTAAAGTCTAAGTACAAACATTTTCAACCAAAAAAATCCGAGGTCTTAGAAAGAAGATTATCTTATGAATAATGTAGGTTCTACTATAGTTTAACTGTTACATTGATTAAATTTGTTGTTTTTAGTTGGCGTTGATATTAGGAGTTTTTGGCGCTTGCCATTGCAAGGAATTGACCCATCTAACCATAGACAATATAGAGGACAAAGGGCAGTATATCCACATCATGATTTCAAATACTAAAACGAAGAAACCAAGAAGCTTCGCTGTGTTAAATGAAGGATTTTGTGTTAACCCAATTGAATTAATTAGAAAATATTCTAAGCTAAGGCCCCAAAATGTGCAGCATAAAAGGTTCTTTTGCAATTTTCAAAAGGGAATGTGTTGGTATTAATAAGCTATCAAAAATACCTAATGTTGTTGTGCGATTTTTGAGCTTGACAGATTCTAATTTATACAGGGTGATTCAGTCATAATGTAATTAATTTTAACCACGTATTCGGAAGGCTTAATAGAGACAGAAAATTGGAAAAAAAAATGTACTCGACTTTTAAAAATGAAGGAAATCAACCTATAACTCCCGCTGAGAGGGCGGCCCTGCCAGATGCCCGGATGCTCAGAAAATTTTGTAACGTAATGTCACGAACAAATCGTCAGCTGAAGCGAACAGCGTTGCCAAGTTCACATCATAATCTGTGGTTCACATTTAATTAATCCGCTTTAGTATACGGATACATATGTACGAAACCAATAAAATGCAAGTAAATAAAGGATCATGCTGCATTTTATTATAACTATTTTTAATAATTGTATTAACTTGCAAAATGTTTTAACAAGCCTGACTTCTCGAAGTCAACTATCGTTAAAAGAAAATAAATAAAGCAGAGGTTTGTAGGCACACTGTAAATTATCAAATAAAAAAAAGTCGGCACACTAAATACCCGAATATATAAAATACACTACATACGGCTACAAAACCATTACTTACCTAATAATTTAAAGCGCTTATTCAAATCTACCACCCTCCATATTTCCCGCATTTTTCCCGCAAAGGAGTTAACATAACACATTTTCAAAAAGTTCAAGCTTTAGAAGCAGCTGATTCCCCCAATCGTCTTGAATTTTGCAGTTGGTTCCTAAGTGCAGCAGAACTTTATTAACAAAGTGCTCTGGACGGATCAATGCTGTTTTACTCGTGCTGGCATTTTAATAAGTATTGCTTTCTCAAAAACAATAAGTGGCTACCTAGGTTACACCAAAGTTTAGATTTACACTAAAGTTTGCATTTATTATGTAAACTTTGGTTATACGCAACTGCATATTCAATAATAAATTGAAATACTAAAACTGTGTATTATTTAACATAATAAATTATAAAACGTGAAAACGTTAATAATATTAAAAATGATAAATTGTAATAACCGTACATTCGAAAACAATCATCCCTATTCATTACATTCAATTTGATGACACGATTTTCCTTTGATAAAAGACCGACAACTTTTTGCTCTACTTTGCATGGAATACGATCCTACTACAGTTCGTATTAGTCTAGGAGCCAGATCAGGTTCCGTGTACTAGCTATAAAAATAAACTTTTTACAGCCATTTAATTTGTTGATAACAATTAAACTGACCACTTTCAGGCTTTGCGACCAAGTTTTTTGGATTCAGGAGGTCTAAATATTTTAGAATATGTTGTTTGCAGCCGTAGCACTCTGGTTGGCAACGGAACCCTGTCTGGCTCCTAGACTAAAGTGCACGTGTAAATTAGAAGGTTATTGACCTCGACACAGGTTAGCCTAAGTCAGAAACACGTACCGACTTGTTTATTTGTCTCCGTCCGATTCTATTTTTATCTTCTATTACTTACAGTCAATATTTAAATACCACAAACATTTCACCCTCTCTTTATAATTTATCTAGTAAGTGTTGTTTTTTTGTGTCATTATTTCTGTTATGAAATTGAAATGGTTATGAAATGAAATTTAAATTATTTAAACTCTCGGGGCTCTGTAACTTCAATATTAAATTTTATTTAAAGTGAAACAGAGCTAATTTCTTTGCAGTCATAATAGTCACATTTGGTCAGATGAAAACCCGCACACTACTCGTCGGTTTAGCTTTCAGAGGAGATTCGGTGTCAATGTATGGGCAGGAGTATATGGCGATCGTTTAATTGGGTCGCATTTTCTACCTGAACATCTGAATGGGCCGCGTTACTTTCAATTTTTAGTAGGCTTACAGCAAATTAAAAAATTATCACTTTGATGTTAATAAAAAATGATTTTTGTCAAGACATGCTCAGACCCCCTCGAGGTTCTTGCTGGGCAACAATAACAATTTAATGTTGATTGCATAATTATAAAAAATAATTTATAGCATTTTAAATTATTATTTGCTGACGTGAGCAAACCGTTTATTTATTGTCTTTATATGAGCGAAAATATAAAAATATGGCAAAATTGCATCTAGGGCGCTTTGTTCATATCGTAGTCGGCTGACGTCAGCCGGTCAGTAACAGCCTGAAAAGGGGGTTAAATAATGATTTGAAAATATTTTTTTTTAGCTTAAATTGCATTTAATTTTTTTTTAATCACGCCATCGCATTATACTCATTTTTCTCTATCTGCTCTTAAAATTAATGACATTATGACTGAATCACCCTGTATACAGGGCATGGCTTGCGTCGCGCATCTGCAACTCTCTTGGCCAATGCTGGAGGGGATATTACAACACTCAAACGCCACGGTGGTGGATGGAAGTCATCTACAGTGGTAGAAGGTTATATAGAAGAGTAAATTTCCAGCAAAATTGATATTACTAGAAAGATACAAGGAGTGTAAACTCCTGAAGAAAGCACAAGCAAAACAACCTATTCTATAAATTTACCACGATCACAAAATGATTCCAATAATCCTTTGGCATCAAATTACGGCTTTGCCGTAAATATTAATGTTAATATCAATAAGTAGGTAGATTGTAAGTTTGTAGCATCTTAGGTTATTTATTGACTTATTAGTGTTTCAAATTGGTTTTCTAATAAAAACTAGAAAAATAAACCAAACATTTGTCTTTTTATGATTTGTGTAAGTCATTAGTGGGTTATAAGTCATAACTTACTAGTGACTTATAGGCCACATTATTCCTTTAAAACCAAAGAAATCATAGTATCTATACAAGTGTTGGATAAAGATCTAAATATTATTCTTCATATCAAAACTATAATTCCAGTGTTAAAATAGTAGGGAGAAAAACTATACATAATTCAACCATAATAAAAAAATAATAGAGTGTCCGTAGCTGGTAAAAGTCCGTCTTTGTCTACAAGGGCTGAATTGCTGACTAACAATATACATACCTACCTGTTTGATATTTAGATATACCAAGTGAGTGTAAATTTGTATCTGATGTTCTAAATTCGATAATTATTGGAACCCCTTAAAATGATACGCCCATGGAACGCTTTACCCCTCGCACGATCTAAACATTTAGAATGAGTCGCCGCCTACTATTTTGCACCTGAAGTTACTTATCAAGACATTCCAGATTTAAAAAACTGGAGATGGAAGTTTACAACCGTATAGAACGTTAAAAGGACTGGGGCAAATTACCTTTCCAACGGCGACAGCTGTCGTAGCCATGTCCAGGACGAAGCTGTCCCCATTTAGAGCCGGAGCGCCAAGGGACAGCGGGTTGGTTCCCAGCGCGGCCTGAAATCGCAATTATCTGTAAGTGAAGTGTGACAGCGGGTATTGAGGCATTTGGGAAGCAGGTACAATAAAACAATCGTACGTCCTACCGGTTGAGTTACAGATCTAAGAATACACACACGAACAAACACAATATGCATTGGTACAGCTTGTAACTCCTGCAGTTGTGATACAACAAATCTCAAGGTCGAGTTAAGCTGCCTAGAAATCACTGATCTTTCGCCAGGACTTACCTGCGTTGCTCTAGTTGGGGCCATAAATGGAGAAGTGTTGGTGAAACTCATCCCTAACAAACCATGGTTTATCGCCTGGATAGAATATATTCCGGCTATTCCATAATGGTTGGATCCTTGAATACAAAACGAGATTAAAGTTTGGGGACAGCTGCAAATGCTTAAATTAGCCCTGGAAATTTTTTCTCCGACTCGAGATAATTATACAGGGTGCATCTTAAGTAGAGGTAAAAAATCCAGGGGCGTATTCTATGGCCAAAAATAAGGGTTTTTTGTTATATAATTATGGGGCCTTAGGACAGCCATTGTCCAGTTGCAGCGTGTCAAAAATTAAAAAAAAAAATCAGTTCTTAATTTTTAATTTCTAAACCGCTTGAGATAATTTAAACAAATTCGGTGTGCATATTTAGTATAACAGCAGGTATGAAACAGAAAATTACCAGTTTTAGAAACTTACCAGTGGCGGAGGTGTGGATAATGGCGCATATGATGACCTATTTTATTTGTAATGTGATTATACCCACACCTCCGTCACTGGTAAGATTCTAAAGCTGGTTTCATACCTACTGTCATACTAAATATGCACACCGAATTTGGTTGAATTATCTCAAGCGGTTTAGAAATTAAAAATTAAAAACTGATTTTTTTATTAATTCCTGACGCTCTCTAGCTGGACAATGGCTGTCCTAATACCCCACATTTTATAACAAAAACCCCTTATTTTTGGCTTCTACTTAAGAAACACCCTGTATACTTAAACGTGTAATTCTACACAATGTATCATGTATGTTCAATGCCTTTACAGTTTTTGTGTAAAAGAAACCATTGCAAATGGGTAAGTAACAAAAACCCATCTTCACAATTTTTATCAGTGTATATTGAAGTGCTGAGACTTTATAACGCAACAGTCGACGTACGACGTAAAGTCGGTATACAAGTCGGTATGGTAAACGGAATTATCTTTAAAGGTAGTTTATAGAAAAGCGCGACCTAAAGGGGCTGGAAACGATTCAGAATTATCAAATTAACGATAGCAGTCGTTAGCGAAGCTCGAACGATAATCCATCTAACACCTGGTAGTGACAAATGGATCGTACCCAACGTTTGTTATAAATGGGTTTCGATTAGTTATTTAACGCCTCTACGGCGCTGCAGAATTTATGATTTTNCCCTATTCTTTATTATTTTAATTTAAACAATAAAAATATATATAACGAACGTTCGCCAGTTGACTTTATTGATGCCCGAGCGCCTTAGTTCATGTCTACTTGTAATGATGCACATGGTCTAGTTCTGAGTCAATGTTTTCACAACATGCTTATTAAAAAAATTATGCGGATACGCCACGCCTTTCGCGCATTTCGCGGCTCATGAGATATTAAAAGACCTCTAATACGTATGATTATTTGGAGGTAAATCTTTGGGTACTTTAATTACATATTTTTCAAATACGTAATTTGATTAAATGTTAAGTTCCTGATTTAAGACATTCATAATTACTAAAATTCGAGCTAAAATTTAAGCACAGCATTATCTTCGTACTAAAAAATAGATACATTTTATTTTATTTATTTAAAGACTGGAAAACAATTGTCTTGAAATTTACTAAATATTTCACAATAATAGCTGTTTACATTTTTTCCGCAGGACAAGTCTGGCGCGTGTACACGTGGTGCGTATCAGCAGATTAAGCGCTGTTCTCACGTTGTGATGAAACTCCCCAACATTAATACTCGATGTATTTTGAAAACTGTTAATCTTAAGTAAAGGCAGTCAAACTTCTTACGCCTTGTATTTACCATGCGCAACAACCATGGCTATTCCGGCGTCCTTGGCTTTCGCTATAGCTAGGTCCATGCAATACTTCCCCACCACAGCACCAAGTCCATTATTTCCGTTAACTAACGCCGTCGCCACTGTTTCTTTGTCCAAAGTACACGTCGCCTTTGGATCACACACGCCTCCTTGAATATCTCTTATGTACATTTCTGAAAATTAAAAAAATTGGACCAGGAAAACAAGAAAAATAAGATATTAGTTTTTCAATCTTCCATTTACCTAGTCGATTCATTCCATGACTGTAGTGTCCCCTGTAGTCGGCCTCCAAGAGGTTATCGGTAACGGTTTCTGCATGTTCTTGAGGTGTCCCAGCAGCCTTGAAGCAGTCGACCATAAAGCGACGCGCCTCTTCTATTGTTGTAACTAATTGACTAGTTTCGGCCTTTTGACTAGGAGCTGGAAAGATTTCCAATAGTCAGTACCCGAAAAACTTATATTTAAGGAAGGGTGGGTTAAATTTGTGAATTATTAAATCAATTAATTAGCCCCTTAAGCCTACCCTCCTGCGCAGCTGCTTCAAAACTAAACGATTTGCATACACGCCTACTTTTATTTCACATGTTACTTATAAACATTGCAAATGAAGTGTGCTGATAGAATGAGCGATCACAGTTTCGTTATACGATTTAAAGACCTGCATTAATGAAGGAGAATAGAATAAACATTAATCATTGTTTCCTTGAACTGTAATTACGAAAGATGGACGACACGTGTTGCAAACAATTAAAGATCAGTTATTGCAATAATTGTATAATGTTGGTGTTGTCGTTTGTATTTACTTTTTGTTTAATTGCGCAGGCTGATAAATGTGACTGACCTCAACCAGAAACCAGATTATACTTTCCCGATAGTTTTCGACACATTGAAATATCCTAACCTAAAAGTGCGATTAACTCAGTTTTTCGCTATATTTGAGGTTATGAGACATAACAAGGAGGTTTTTCTTCACAAAACTCGTTATATCATCTCAAAGTACCACAGTTCTTTTTCGAATTTTATAACGAGTTTTGTGGAAACAAATTACATCGTGACGTAACCTCAAATATAGCAGAATAGCGTGTTTTTTGCACTTTTAGGTTAGATTATTTCTAAAACCTTCTGGATTGGGATTCGGATTCAGCACACCAACTTTCGAAAAAGTATAGGCCCGTTTCCAGTTTAAAGTTTTATCGGTCTGCGTTATTGACATTTTTTTCAATCCGATTCATTTTATTTTCTAACATATCTTCGAGGTCCCCTCATGTATATTTATATTAAAATCATTACTGCTTTGATAAGATATCAAGGGAAAACAATGGTGTTTAACATTGCTATTTTTACTTTTTCATTAAAATTCGTTTACACAGTATAAGATTTTTATTTTTTAATTCTTTGTGATCTACCAAACTATGCACACTAACAATGTTATAGAAACCTGTTTATGTGGGTACGTGAAGGTTGATTACGGCTACATTTTAAAAATATTTTAAAATATACATTGTCCAGGAAAAGCGTACCATATCAAAGTTATCTATTTTTAAATGGAACACCCTGTATTTTACTACATTTTTGAAAGCACCTTAAAAAAATAGGTGAACTATTAAAGGTTTTGCATACATAGGACTTATTGTTTGTGAGATATTTCAATTTTAGTGAAAATGCAGGCTTAGCGTAGAAATTGAATACATATATACATAATTTTAAGGAAGCAGCTTTGGAGAGTGTATTTTAGATCCTTGAAGTTATACATTATTATATTTGCATCACTTAGTATTGTACAGGATGTTCAAAAAACTGCTGAATGCTTATCTCAACTTTAAACAGCAATCGATACAGACACTTGGAAACATCTTACAAAAAAATTCTATAAAAAAAAAACGAGACGGCGCAAATATCTCCAATACCTTTAGAGATAGGCATAGGGGACCTATAAACAGTTTGAAAGAGTTTTAAATTTCCTAACTTCCAAAGTAAAAATATACTGGGTGTCCCATTTAGAATAACCAAGTTATTGCTGTTTAAAGTTGAGAGAAGTATTCAGCAGTTTTTTGAACACCCTGTAGATTACGTTGTGACGACAAATATAATAGTTTATAACTCCAAGGATCTAAAATACACTTTCCAAGGCTGCTTCCTTAAAATTATTTTTTTATTGCTAATATTACATTTCTACGCTAAGCCTTTATTTTCACTAAAATTGAAATATTTCACAAATAATAAGTCCCAGCTATGCAGAACCTTTAATAAAGTCCACCTATTTTTTTACGGTGGTTTCAAAAATGCATTAAAATACAGGGTGTTCCATTTGAAAATACATAACTTTGATAAGGTACCCTTTTCCTGGTCACCCTGTATATTTTAAAATATTTTTAAAATGTAGCCATGATCAAACCCATCTAAACAGGTTTCTATAACATTTCCCGTTTGGTCCCCAGCCACCGAGGCCCACCCTGTATTATTGAGATCTTCCATTTCGTGTAAAAAATTTCCTTATATCGTTATGATAATCGAATTAAAATTTAGATAGGTGTTAGTATAAGTTGGTTTCCTATAAACACTTGTTACTAGGGAACTGTCATATCTTTAAATTAACGTACATATCTAGAAACAGTAATGTATTATTGTTTTCTACTTCCAAAGTAAATTTGTTGGTTACTTGTTATTAATAATATCCAAAAAAAGTAGACTCGGCATAACAAATAAAGGAGTAGAAAAATTTCCAAATTTTTTTAATGATTTTTGAAAGGCTGTAACTTCATGAATAACAGTCGCATCCAGAAAAAAAAAGAAGCATCTTGAAGCTTGATGATTTTTGATTTTTGAAATCTTGAGATTGAAAAATGCAATTTTGAAAAAATTTAAATTTTGCAAAATTTTTTAGTTTTAGCGCCCTCTGTTTTACAATTTACAATGAATATTTCAAATGTCAAGGAAAAAAAAATTTTAAGTAAAAAAAAAGTTTAAATCGATTTTTTTTAAATTTTGAATTTTTTTATTTCAAATGTCAAGGAAAAAAAAATTTTCTATTAAAAAAAGTTGAAAAATTAGATTTGGTATGAAAATTTTGAATTCTTTTAATATTTCAAACATCAAGGAAACAATTTTTTTTGAAATTAAAAAAAGTTGAAAACTGATTTTGTTTCAAAATTTTGATTTTTTTTAATATTTCAAATGTCAGGGAAATTATTTTTTTTTTAAATTAAAAAGAAGTTGAAAAATTAGTTTTTTTTAATTTTGAATTTTTTTATCATTTCAAATGGCAAGGAAAAAACTTTTTAAATTAAAAATAAAATTGAAAAATTTGAATTTGTTTCAAAATTTTGAATTTTTTTAATATCACGGAAACAATTTTTTTTTTAATTAAAAAGTTGACAAATTTGTTTTTTTTTAATTATGAATTTTTTATTATTTCAAATGGCAAGGAAAAAAAAATTTTATAAATTAAAAAAAATTTAATTTGTTTTTTTTCAAAATTTTGAATTTTATTCTTATATCAAATGTCAAGGAAAAAAATATTGTGATATTAAAAAAAAGATGAAAAATTTTATTTTATTTCAAAATTTTGAATTTTTTTAATATTTCAAATAGCGAATCCGCATAAGAGAGGCGCGGGCAGCTGGCTCATAGCGCATTCTTAACAATTAAAAAACAATGCTTTAGAATAAGCGAGTCCCAAAAACTCTTCAGCATCTTGTAGGGGGATGTTAAAACTTTAATTTAGGTACCTGGCAACATCTAAAATAAAAATTTTTAACCCGGAAATCGGCCGTTGAAAATCGTCATTTTCGCATTTTTAGCAAATTAAATTGTTTATAACTTTGAAACTATCAATTTTAGAGGCATAGTGCATAGGAACTTTTTTGTTTATAATGTGCCAAAAAAACCAAAAACATTTCTTCCGGAGTGATACAACCAATTTTTACAATTTGTTTAAAAAAAGTTAGTTTAAACCAAATTTCCGGCCGGCATCATCTTGATTCATGTGAACATCTCACGAATCTGAATATGCAATTAAATCGAGTCGGAAAATTTCTCCTACGAATGCGAGGTTTTCGCCTTGTCTAATCAGTTATATGCAATGAAATCAACACGGCATTTTTTTATCTCAAATTTCATGTCATTCTATCTCAACATATTTAAAAATAGTGATTGATCGCATATGTTGTTTTTAATAAGATTCGTAAAAAAAGCAATAAAAATATTAAGATAAAAATAATAAAGTTATGATTTGATGTTCTTGCCATCGATAAAAACTATGATATACCTCAGTACAATTGTACAAGAATGCCTAGAACACAGTAATATCCTTCAGGAACCTCTTCACCGCAATTTATTGTTTTAATTTCGCAGCTATCTGTTTTGTTTATTATCTTAGGAACAGTATCAATACATACTGTTATTGTTTTGCACACGATTGAGCGTATATTGTTTAAAAATTATACAAGCGTTACGTAAAAACCTACATCACGTCATAAAACTAATCCTTTACCTGTTCGAGTGCTGCTGGAGGCCATGGTCCTTCGCATGTGCACCACTGCAGCGCGCTTTGTCAAAATCTCGCAAGCATTTAAGCAAAACTGGCAGGATCCGCGCGCAACCATTTTAATAGACGTCGAGGCCATGCTGATAAACTGCAAAATGTTAAATTATTATTATTTTATGCTCGCGGTGATATCACTGACGACTCGTCGGTCGCACGTGAATACCAATGGGAAAATATCGACTGTGTACAGGGTGATCGATGCGAAACAGTCTTGTTTTAAGTGTTTTTAGGCGCTAAATATTTGGAAGTTACGTTCGTGGAAATATGTATAAGTAATATTAATCCATTTTGTATGCGCCATAATATATGGTATAGTTAATTGTACAGGGTGTCCAGAAGTGAATTATACGTAATCCGAAGTTTTGCTTATCTTGTCATGGTCCAAAAAATTTCAAAATGTGAAATTTTTCCTTCGCCTTTAATTTTTGTTTTCGTTAAAAACTGTATTTAATAAAGTTGTTTTTTGGACGCTTTGTATGTTTTATTTACTGCCCATGACTTCCCAAGATAAGCAAAACTTTATATCAAGAATAAGTTTTTCTCAAAAAATTAACAATAAAAAAGTTTATAAGGGTGTGGCACCCCATTCGGGGATACACTGTATAAACATTAAAAATATTTAGCGCTTATTTATTTAAATTATATTTGTGACAGAAATATCCAGTCAAATAAACCGAGTAATTGTATAATGAACTTTTATTGCTTTAACCTGTTTCGAAACAAGGTTTAGTTTTTGTCCAAATTAATTCTCAAAAAAAGTAGATAAGGAAGAAGCAAAAATGATTCAGACTGAAAAACAAAACGAAAAACAAAGAATAATTTTATAAAATTCAATAAAGTTATAGTTCTTGATTATACTGTTGACGTAAAAATGGCAGTGCAACTGAAGCCTCTTTACAGAGAAGTACCCAAACGTTTCCAATTTTTTGAGTCAACGATTTATTTGCCCAAATTAAAAAATAGGTGTTAGACGGACCACCCTGTAAATCGCGGTGAAGGAAACATGGGTTTTTATTCTGTTAGTGCGAAATGTCGTCATATCCATAGAGAATATGAAGATAATGATTAAGTCCAAGGAAAACTATGTGCGAATGTGAAAATTTGCATAACTTTTATTTTACAGAAGCCTCCATTGCGCTAATACAAACACATGTGTTTTGCATAGTGAATAAAACAAAATGATTTATAAATAATAAACAATTAATCACTTCGGTTACTTGATTAATTCCTTTTTGACATATCAAAACAGGTGTCAAGTCAGCTTGCATACTCCAATCCTGTTAACAATGATCAAGCACCTGTCGATGCGAAACTATTGATCGAAACGGAATGCACGGCAATTCATATTGTACAATAATTTAGACAAAAGACTATGTTCACATTATGCTTAAGGTTTCAAGTATTTAAACGATTCATTTTTTAACTTTGCTTTGATTGTAAAACTGAACAATTTATAAGCACTTAGTATCAAATCTATATCAAAATTTATCACTTCTTGTAGAAGAACCAAGAGGTTGACAGTATGTACCAGGTTGGGTCGCTGACGCAGCAACTCGGCATTGAAATATTTGAAAAACTTGTTCCCATATTTATTTAGCCATACCCATATACAGGTCTGGTCGAACTAAACTTGGAGGTGGATAAATGTATACGCCCAGTTGAAGAATGCGAGTGTAGGCAAAGGAAAACAAACACAGCTGCACTGGGCCACTGGGCAATAAACCAGCTGTTGACAAGTGGTTGACAAATAGCCTAGCGGTGCAGTGCAGCAATGCGGAATTTGGTGTGATTCAGGTAATTTTAATTTATTATAGACACCTTCTATTAATCATTCATATTACAATTGTGAAAGGGCGAAATAAAAGGGATATTTTGTTTACTAATATTATTACAACAAGGCATTTTGGAGACCTTTTGAAACGGGACAAAATGAAATTTACCATCAATATAATAAAATTGTTTGAGGACGTAAATAATAATTAAAATATATTGTTGGTCAAATGAACATAAATAGAAATTTTCTACACATTATTATAATTTTTTACCTTTAGCAGAAAACTTTTTTAAGGGCGCCTATGAAAGTCATTAAATTTTATTGCTAGGCGTTTTTTACATGTTCAACTGACTTCGGAAAGACTATAACATCCAATGCCTATTACTGAAGGCACAATATAATATCGACATTTATTTCCTATTAACTTCGTTTAATAGAATCTTTGGTTTCCCAACAAGGTATCGATTTAAAAATTAGATGACTGTTTTCACAGATAATCTATCTAATCAATTGTTTATTTAGTATAATTTTGATCGCATTTGTAGTCTGAGCTAAAAGGGAAGGGACAAAATTTGCAACGCTCACAACCAAGGTCAATTTGAGCTGGTATAAAAAAAGTGTAGGAAGTAACTTGACGAATTTAAATAATATTGATTAATTCGTCCCTCTGGACCAATAGAATCGGATAATCCAGGGGCGTAACAAAATTTATATTACACATTTNTAATTGTATAATGAACTTTTATTGCTTTATCCCGTTTCAAAACAAGGTTTAGTTGTCGACCAAATTAATTCTCAAAAGAAGTAGAGGAGGAAGAAGCAAAAATGGTTCAAAGACTGAAACAAAAACGAAAAACAAAGGATAATTTTATAAAATTCAAGTTATAGTTCTTGATTATATCAAACTCTTGACGTAAAAACTAGTAGTGCAACTGAAGCCTCTTTACAGAGAAGGACTCAAAGGTTTCCAATTTTTTAATCTTTGATTTATTTGCCCAAATTAAAAAAATAAGCGTTACGCGGACCACCCTGTAAATCGCGGTGAAGGAAACATGGGTTTTTATTCTGTTAGTGCGAAATGTCGTCATATCCATACAGAATATGAAGATAATGAGTCCAAGGAAAACGCATGTGAAAATTTGCATAACTTTTACTTTATAGAAGCCTCCTTTACTCTAATACAAACACAAATATATTTTGCATAGTGAATAAAACAAAATGATTAGTATAAATAATAAACAATTAATTACTTCGGTTACTTGATTAATTCCTTTTTGACATATCAGAACAGGTGTAAAGTCAGCTTACCTCCTCCAATCCTGTAAACAATGATCAAGCACCTGTCGATGCAAAACTATTGGTCGAAACGGAATGTATGGTAATTCATATTGTATAATAATTTAGACAAAAGACTATGATCACATGATGATTAAAGTTTCAAATATTTAAACGATTTATTTTAACTTTGCTTTGATTATAAAACTGAACAATTTATAAGCACTTAGTAACACTATATCACATTTTATCACTTCTTGTATAGTCTTTGACAAGTGGTTGACAAATTGCCCAGTAGTGCAGAATTTAGTGAGATTCAGGTAATTTTAATTTCTGTCACCGTCTATTAATCATTCATGTTACAATTGCGAAAGGAAGAAATATAGAGGGATATTTTGTTTACTAATATTATTACAACATGGCACTTTGGAGATCTTTTGAAACGGAACAAAAAGAAAATTTACCATCAATATAATAAAATTGTTTGAGCACATAAATAATTAAAATATATTGTTGTTCAAATGAACATATAATAGAAATTTTCTACATATTATTATAATTGTTTACCTTTAGCAGAAAACTTTTTTAGGGACGCCTATGAAAGTCATTACATTTTATTGCAAGGCGTTTTTTTACTGTTCAACTGACTTCAGAAAGGCTATAACGTCCAATGTCTGTACCATCACTGAAGGCACAATATAATATCGATATTTATTTCCTATTAACTTCGTGCAATAGAATCCTTTGTTTCCCAACAAGGTAGACAAATTGATTTAAAAATTAGATGACTGTTTTCACAGATAATCTATCTAATCAATTGTGTATTTAGTAAAATTTTGATCGCATTTGTAGTCTGAGCTAAAAGGGAAGGGACAAAATTTGCAACGTTCACAACCAAGGTCAATTTGAGCTGGTATAAAAAAAGTGTAGGAAGTAACTTGACGAATTTAAATAATATTGATTAATTCGTCCCTCTGGACCAATAGAATCGGATAATCCAGGGGCGTAACAAAATTTATATTACACATTTTGGTTCGGACAACTTTATTTCCGTTTGCAGTAGGTATTCATTACAAAATTACTATTACAACTTGGAATACTTATTATCAGCAAACAGAATCTTCACCATATGGGAGCGGCAATCATGAAAGTGCAGGATTTAACAAAAATAATTAATTAATTCCCTCCATATCACAGGTATCTCGATTGTTTGGATAAAATTAACCGTGCGAATTTGCCAAAATGTATAATTTGACTTTAGTACTTACAGTTGAGTTTAGGATTAAATTTTTTTTTCATAACACACTAAAAAGATTTACCTTACTATCTCACACCCTTGAACGCACTAGATAGTGCACTTGAACTTGATAAGGTTAAGGTGTTATGACTGATCCCACACGTGTAACCGAAATATTAATTAAATTTCTATTTTCGGCTTCGGTTTCACCAAGGCATGCCAAACATTGTTGGATGGATACACCGGTTTAGATTATATAGTAAATAGGAAATATAAATAAATGGAAGCGAATAATCCTCTGTCGAAGGAGCACAACATTTGTGAGCAACGGATTTTTATAAATCTCTCCCAGTTTCCATTTTAGCCCTTTGCTAGACTTTGTTCCAGCTGTCCAGGTTTTTTTATTTTGCAAGTGTACACAAACCATTATAAGCTATAGCCAGAGGGTGTATTTAAAAAATTTTAGAAAATCAAGTTTGAACTTTTTTAAAATGATCGTGTTATAAAAAATGCCCTGTATAAAATATCGATATTAGCTAATATAGGAGTCTTTGCCTAACATTTGCTCATAACTGTGTCAAATATGTTTGATCCAAGTGTTAGGAGTTGAAAGTTAATACAACTAATGTACGATTTTTTATTCTGGTCCAAATTTTGGTTGGTGTACTTGTACTCCCCATAGTACTAATAAATATCAGGTAGTGTTAAAATTGCAAAAACTCTCTGATGTATAAAAAAACTTACAGAGATTTCCCAAAAATTGGATCCTATTTATTTGCAGTTCTGAGGAATTTCGAAATTTCACTACAGGAAGCTTAGAAAAGCACGTAGTGATATGTTTTAACACAGTGTATATGCCACCGAAACCTAGTTTTCACTTAAAGCTTTGTAGTAGTAGTTGTAGTTTTTTCTACTTTTGTTACAGTTTAAGAGTTCTCTGTAACATCGGCAATACCGCATAGCTGATTTACATTATACGTAAATTATTTAGAAAAATCAGCGATTCTCAACAAGTTTTCTCTTAAAAATCTATCTATCTACTTATCATAATAGTGAATAATTTTAATTCAAAACTTATATGTGTTTAAGTTAGCAGCAAAAATAGTTTTATTCTATTCCTACACGCTTGTGACTGTTTAATGATCAAATTCGGCATTTTCCGGAGCGGGATTACCAGACACTTCCGATAAAAATTACTAGCAAACTTTTATATTAATTGTAATTACGAGTTCTTTGCTCTTTTTTTCTAGAGGCTCCTCATTTCAGTATTTATTTTAGTACAAACGTATTTACTTGGTACGAATAATTCTTAACCTTTTGAATCGAATTGATAAAATTCCACATACGGTTCAAATGTTAAGCGAATAATGTTAGTAAATTTACGAGATACGAATAAAGTCCAAACCGTATACAGGGTGTTAGATCTCGGACACGAAAGTATGTAGGTAATGGTACTTTTATAAATGGATAAATTTTTAAAATTTTTGCTTCTCTTTCAAAAGGTCCACGGGCTTCAATATTTTTTTTGGCAACACCACTTGTCAAGATTAAAAAGTGTATTTCCGACATACGTAGTCGCAACAAATATTCATGATTTTTTCTACTACTTTGGCAAATATTACCCTTTGCAATAAAGATAAGATTGTATAAATAGTTCCAATCAACTTCTTTGGTCATATTTATTAATAGATTTTAGATTTTAATATTAAAAATGCTTCTGGGTGGTGTGAATTTTTTTCTTCAAAATCTTTAGAATGATTGGTGATCGAGAATCGAGATGTAGCCGCTGCTTAGCCGTAACTGATCACGCTATATAATATGCAACACTCGCCAGAAACGACCTTGAGCAGCACGGTTTGTCAATATAAAAGTTACATAATGATACTGATAAGCAAAAAAAACGTAATCATTGGGAAAAACACGACTTCAAACGATAAGTATTTGCTATAGATAAGGATTTCTTAATATGGCGTTAAAATATATAAGACACTTTAAAGAAATATCTACTCACTTTCGGGTCTTTTTTACTGGAGCTGCTAGCTGCCCTCACACTCAAAATATTACCGCGTCAAGCATGTCGCCTTAGCGAATTTATTCGGATATTAACATCAGACTGGCCACTTGATTGATAATAATCAGCTCCATCGCGTAATTTTGCGAATATTTCGCGGGACGGCGAGAGCCCCGTCCGCTCGCGGTACGCAAGCGTCGTACCAATTGATTGGGCCGCTAGGACCGGGCCATGACCTACCATCAGTCTCCCCAAGTTCCTAACCTTAACATTTTTCAATTATGATTTTTTTCGATCGTTTCCGAATCCGTCGCGGTGCCGTGCGCCTTATTCCCATGGATGACGGTCGAGTGCAGCCTTATTTTTAACCCAGGAGATAGGCAACCATGAATGGTATGACGAAAGTCCGTGTAGTTGATTGCCTGACTCGGTGTATCGGTCAGTTAGGCGATTTGCTCTCCGTTTGTTTATTTGCATAGGTGACTAGAGGTGATCCACGCAGTGCCTGGGGGTAATGTTTCAATTGTCACATTAGTTCACGTGTTGCCAGTGGCGTAGCGGTGTAGGCGTGGTGGGGTATAGGCGCACGCTCCTGGTTTTTTTAAGTATTCGGAAACGGTGTTTTTTATGGTTTTTACATACGTTTAGAGGGTATTAAGCCAAAGTAAATGTAAAGCAATGTGCACCACTTAATGAGAAACACCTGTGGATGTATTTTAGTAAAAAATTAAAATATTTACGAAGTAGAAGGTATGTAAAAATAAAGTTATTTTCTTATTACTCAAATAAAAAAAGCAGCAGCAGCTAATAGATGAGGTTCCCAATAGGCATATCTCTTATTTGTTTATTTACTTGTTTGAAATTAAGCCTACAGTTTTTTTTTCGGAAATTTTAGAACTCTGGAATGTATTTAAAAAAAATGCAAGTTTAACAATCCTAGACATATGACGTCACTTGCCTTGAACGCAACTACCAATACAACCAGTGAACATAACCTACCTCAAGATCGCTAAAGAAGTAGGTTGCCTATACATTCTGACTTTGAATCGTCCAATGGCATTACAGCATTTCTCAGGCGAGACACGTCATCGGTATATTAATTTGATTTCATCATGTCACCCATGAATTATTATTGAACCAAATCACGTCAAGTGGACCCCCCATTTTATACTTGATCATGGAATTTGAGTTCATATATTTTAATCAAAATCAATACCAATCATATCTTAAAACCGTTTTCCAAAATTTTCATTTTAACAACATTTTTTTTTGCAATAAACGTTTTCAAAAATTAATTGTGTACAAACCAAAATTTATTATATATTATGTAATTATATTTTAATAAAAANATTTAAATAAACAAATGTAAATTTTATTAACTTCTCAGTCAAACAATAAAGTTTTTTTTTAGTTACATGCCTCATACATTTAAATTTAATATTCCGTAAGAAAATTTGAATGCTCAGTATTAGTTTAAACAATATACATTTTTAAATCGCAGAACGATGAGGGTTGTCCGTAGACATTTGAGTTGGCTTGAACTCCAGGCAGCAACCATTAAAAAAAAACTTTTTTATAATGTATGGCTTATACAGGGTGTCCGCAAATTTCACAGACAACGTTTGACTGCATATTCACGACGATAATAAATACGATCTACGAAAAAAAAGTTAAATAAAAACTTTTTGGTTTTTGAGTTAATGTTGTCACAAATAAAACTAATTTAATTAATAACTTCATAATCCTTTTACCGATCGCGTTAAAATTTGGCACAATTATTTGGACTATAATGGCGTATTATTTCTTAAAGATTTAGTCAAATCGATATACTGGGTGATAGTTTTCTCTAGTTACCTCTCCCTTTTAGCGGTCAAATCTTTTACAGTCGTCGTATTTTTTTAAAACGGGCCACAACATTGAAATGGTCGTTTTATTTAAAAAAAATAGTGTCTCTTGAGAAACTCGCCTACAGAAAGCCATTCTTGAGAAAAATGGCATTATGTGCAGGTCTGTATGTTTCGGTTTGCGTAGCAATGTCACGGATTTAAAACTTTGAGTTCAGTACGCGATGAAAACAAGATATTGATTGCTGTGGCTATCAAGTAATGTGATTATTGTGGTGTTTCTTTAGGATTCTCATCACTCCACACATTCAAATTATGAAAATTTACAACTCCGTTCCTTGTAAAACAAGATTCGTCGATACAAAACAATTTTTTAATCAAATTATTATCTTCTGCGAAGTCATTCACCAACGGCGAAATTGTAAACGTGCGTCTAAATTTTCAAGTTCTTGAGCAGAAGTTAAATGAAATGGCCGAAGAAATTGCTTTTTTAAACCTAAACACTTTTTGGTTTGATTCTAAAAAAAAAAATTGCCAGAACTTGACAACACGTGTGTGCATAAGCACAATTAATTAGCAGTGTAGTTAATATACCTAATCCAATTTTAAATATATAGATCTACCCTTATAATGTAAAAATTCTGGTAAATAACGAAGCAGATACAATAAACTTCCCATACCTCTCCAAGCTACAAAACACTTATTTTAAAAATTCTGCATCTTCTGTAAATTTTAGTAGCGTGCGTCAAGATGCATAAAATTAAAAAAAAAACTATTTTTCTAATAATTGTTACACTAATTATCACAAATAATAACTAGTACAAGACAAAATCAATTATTGTTTTTCACTTTGGCACAATATTCTCTTTTTAATCTTCAAACTCTCCTACTCCGACTCAATCTAATGGTATATACTTGTGCCAGGAATTTTTTATAGTCGTATGTATAGCTGTCTCATTGGGGCTTTCGACTCAAAAAGTTCACTTTCTGCTAGCGTTTGTCCCTTTTGTGTGGCTGGACAATAACAATGGTCGACATTGACGTTATTCGATTTATAATACCAATAACGTCATCTCATCAGTTCTGTGTTTAATTTAAGAAATTCGTGGTTCTGTGCGAAAGTGTAGCGAAGGGAATGCAGTTTGTGGGCAACCTCCTAGTTTAGTAATCTTCGTACTAAGTTTGAAGTTTGACAAAATGTTATCGATAATTTTGTGTATGTTATTTACGAACTTGGGGATTTAGTTTCTTTTGATATCTAATTCCGGTGAATGTTTTCTATTTTGTAGGCAGTTTTTTGCTTCGATCTACTGTTCGCTTTAAAATTAGTGGTATATTCTCATCTAAAAGTACCTAGTGCGAACGGATTTTATTAATAGTTAGCGCAGTATAATGCTATAATACTGTATCATATAACTTTTATCTGATTTTTTTATGTGATTCAACCTTGAAAAGTTATCGGGGAGTCGTGTCTTTTTTTAACTTATATTACAATTATAGAATATGCGATTACTAAATAACCCTCCTATTGATCGAACTGATTCTAGTCGTACAGGTGGTTGCCTATCTTTCGTCGCTTATCCGATACTGCGAAATGAAATTAAGAAATTCGCGTTTCTTTTATTCAAACTGGCCTGTATTTGGGACAAACATTCGGTTCAAATGTCAAGGCGGCGCGAGCAAAATATTTTGCATAATTTTAATTAATTCTGCGACATTATACCATGCAAAATGACTGCATATAGCTCTCTCTCTCTCACTTTCTTGAACGATGATGTTTGTAACTACTTGCTTACTGAGTTAACTAGATCAAAGTGTAATTGGGTAATTAAAGAAACCGGCTAAACCACGTTCGGCATGAACTATTTGTGGCGAATTGTTGCATTTATTGATTGAAAACCGAAGCTAAATGCTCGGTAACGTGGATATTACAGCAATTATGACCCCATACTCATATTTGACCACACTAATTCATTTACCCAAATTCTCTCGAGCGTATGTAAGGATTATTGAGGCGCCCTTCAAATTGCATGTAGCTCGAAACACGTATTAAGGAATTTTGTGATCGATATTTTGTTCTCACTTATGTAGCAAACAACAATTAGTCCAGACGGTATCTGTTTCAAAAAGTCCATATTTGGGTGAATCGTATATCCACGGAGATTTTTGGCTTTTCATCACTAGAAATGAAAATTTTTCTACGCGCATAAAAAAAACGTGGGATTAACTTTTGGCGGCACAATATGTTAAAAAAATTCGAAAAATGTAATATTTTTCTTCCTATTTAATTATGTATCTTTTCAAGAGTTGATTTTAGGCGAAAATGGAAGAGGAAAAAAATGTTTGTAATTAATTTTTTTACAAAATATGACTAGTTACAAATCGAATGAATCATGATTATTATTGTAAAGATCGCCAAAAATGGGGTTAAAAAGCATTATTTTTTAGGGAATTTAAAAAAAAATTGCAAATTTTCAAAATTTTGCACAGCAAAAACCAAGGCCCTTAGATACTTGAAAATTTAATCACATATAGAAGAATTTTCAAGCTTTCAGACCATTTTTGAGAAATTTGAATCCGTCAATTAGGAGAGCTCTGGCGCTTGTTTAAACATTGATCGAATTTTTGTACTTATAAACAATTAGAATAACTTTGTAAATATTCAACCAAATCAAATTTTTTAGGTTTTAAAAGTTCTTGGAAAGACGCTTCTTAAAAAAACAGATCGATTGGTCAATTAATTACGTAGTTATAGCCGATCAAAGTTAACCGTCATTTACACTAAATATACCGGGACATCCGGGCTAATTTTTCGAAAAATACCTTTGGTATTCCGAGTACTTAGCAGATCTAAGTTTTCAATACTTTTCTTCATCGGCAACCTACTTTAAAACGTGTTTAAAGTTATTTATGCAAGCGAGAAATTCAAGAAAATCGTGGTGGGGGAAGCAGAGAGCGCGGTCGCTTCGGCCTGCTCGAAATTGAATCGGCGAGTTTGAAAGCACGACGCGCTTAAAAATTTTTAATATCTCAGCTTCTAGAGGTCCAATTTTGATGATTCTTTTTTAAATAGATGTCTCGCGATTTAAAAAAAAAACAATGAGCGTATTTTCAAATGCCTATCGTTAAAAATTATTGGTTTTTCAACAGTACGATAATTATTATTTATCTTTAAACTTCCTTTAATTATTATCAACTTCATTTTTTTATTGTATCAAAGGTAAGTGCATAAACTTATATACTGTTTATTAAAGATCAAAAACAAATTTATTTAAATATTCTAAAATTGTTTAAACAACAATTATTTTCAAAATATGTTGAAAATTAGTAATATATATTATAACAATAAATAATATATTTGAATTATACTTTAATCACAAAAGAAATGATGATTATATTAATAAATTATTTATAAAAAATCAATAATACATATTTTATTATTTTTATTCATACTTAATTGCATTAATAAATCAAGATTTAAAAAATGTACAAAAATTCGACCAATGTTTAAACAAGCTCCAGAGCTCTCCTAATTGACAGATTCGAATTTTTCAAAAAAGAACGATGGAAAGCTTGAGAGCCCTTCTATATATGATTAAATTTTCAAGTATCTAAGGGCCTTGGTTTTTGCTGTGCAAAATTTTGAAAATTTTTATAATTATTATTTATTATTAATTAATTAATAATTTTTTCAAAATCTGGATTGCAAAATTATTATGCAAAATCTATCGAACCGATTTTGATGAAATTTGGTGTGATGATTCTACATAACATGAAGTTTTCTTGAGCCAAGTATGAAGGTCCTATGCCCAATTTAAAGACCCCAAAAAAAATCCTTAAAAAGTAATGTTTTGGCGATTTTTTCGATTTGTACAATAATAATCATGATTCATTCGATTAGTAACTATTTTGTAAAAAAATTAATTCCAAACATTTTTTTCCTCTTCCATTTTCGCCTAAAATCAAGTCTTAAAAAGATGCATAATTAAATAGGATGAACATTTTTCGGATTTTTTTAACATATTGTGCCGCCAAAAGTTAAGCCCACGATATTTTTATGCGCATAGAAAAATTTGCCATCTAGAGGAGTTCGTTATAAATACGTCCATTACAAACATTGGCTGCAAAAAAGGTGTTACCTTTGTTCGTCGTAGGAGAATGACCCTATTTTCAATAGTATAACTACTTTCGAACGTCTAAAAAAAGACAAAGTAGGCGTACAGTCTGATGGGTGAATATCCAATTGAAGGGAAAGACAGCATCGTAGTCGTCGTATCAGAATCAAATTTATTCACTTTCCCTGTTTTTCTTTAACATTTTGGAGAGTCGTTGACATGAACGTCATGTGATGTACGTTTACACATTTCAGCAATACTTCGAAAGCCGTGAATACCTAGAAATCAACAAATTCCATTGTTACAATTACTTGTTATTTAAAACGGTATTTACGAGCAAATATTTGACGAAAATATGCTTGCAGGCGGATTACTGAGCAATTATAGAATTAAAATTGCTGTGATTCTCAGGAAAAATAGCGGTAATAAAATAATTATCATAATCAACATGACTCAACAAAAAAGGAAATAAAGGAAATATTCTCAAAATAAAACTGGGATTTTAGATAATACTCTTATATAAAATAAAACTTTGCTACAATAACTAAACGCTATCACATACGTTTAAGTGTCAAAATTATTTCGAGCACAATTAATTTTGTTTTGTTTATTCTCTAAATGCATGTAAACTCAAGAATTAATTCAAATCTAGTAATAACTATGACTTCAGGTTCAACTAAGTGCGATAAGCGAATACTTCTCTCGCGTGTTTTTTTTTTCCAAATAATTATATGAGTAAACAGTCGGTTAAGATTGCGTGTTGTTTTCAAATGAAATGTCGTCTTGCTAGTCAATATAGATATGTCATAAAATACAAACAACGAAGGAGATCATTGAAGGAAATCTATTCTCCAAACAAGCAGTTTGTTAAGCTAAAGTCACACAGAGCGCTATGTTCGCTCTGTGTGACTTTAATAAACATAGCAAACTGAGCTAACATACCGCTCTCTGTGGTTGCGATATTGCCTGTTGTTAGCGTAACGAACATAGCTAACGCAGCGCTTTCTATGGTCTTAGCAATAAACAAAACTATTTTAAAAAAGCAGAGGACATAGCAAACAGAGACCTCTGTGGTTGCAATATTGTCTATTTCAGAGTGTGTAAAGAAAATAGCGAACATAGCTATAATAGCGCTTCTTATAGCTTGGCATAGCTATACGTAGTTTGTGTGGCTAGTGCGAATATAGCGAGCACGGCGCTTTGTTCTGTGTGTAACATAAAACAAAAAATAAACACAGCTAGCATAGCACACTCGGCGGTTGCAATATGGCCTGTTTTAGCTTGTGTAGAGAAAGTAGCGAATAGCTATAATAGCGCTTCGTATACCGAACATAGCAAATACAGCTAGTCTAGCGAATATAACCAACATGGCGCTTTCTGTGTCCTTAGCATAAAACAACATTTACAATAAACATAGCGAATATAGCGATCATAACTACCAAACCGTTCTCTGTGATCGCAATATAGCCTGTTCTAATATGTGCAGAGAAAGTATTCAACATAGCTATAACGTTCGGAAAAAAAATTGATGACAATTTATAGTACACATGGCAAGCTGGCGTAGTAGTCTGTGTGGCAGTTTGGAACGTGTGTAGCGAACATAGCTAATAGCGCATTGTGAGTCCTTGGCATAAAACAAGAGTTTATTCTGAGTAAACGTAGTGAACAATATCGCGAACATAGCGCACTTGGTGATTAAAGTTTAGCGTGTGTAAAGACGGTAGCGAAAATAGCTATCATAGCGTTTTCGTACAGCTTTGGCATAGAACTATTTTCACATAACGAACGTAGCGAACACAGCTAGCCTAATGATCTATCTGGCAGTGTTTAACATGTAACGAACACGCGCTTTGTGTGTTCTTTAACATAAAACAAAAGAGAATTTTTAATAAACATAGCTTCCTAAGACCGCAGTATAGAATTTGACGGCTCTTTTTAATATTATATATTACAATTATGAACATAGCTTAGCACGCATAGACAGCCTAATGCTTTGTGTTGCTGTTTTTCTTTACTCGTACAGCGAACATAGTTAATATAGCACTTTCTGTGTCCTTAGCATAAAACAAAATTTATAATAAACATAACGAATATAGTGATCATAGCTACCAAATCGCTCTCTGTGATCGCAATCTAGCCTGTTTTAGCATGTGCAGAGAAAGTATTCAACATAGCTATAACGTTCGGAAAAAAATTGATGACAATTTATAGTACACATGGCAAGCTAGCGTGGTAGTCTGTGTGGCAGTTTGGAACGTGTGTAGCGAACATAGCTAATAGCGCATTGTGAGCCCTTGGCATAAAACAAGAGTTTCTTTTGAGTAAACGTAGTGAACAATATCGCGGACATAGCACACTCGGTGATTAAAGTTTAGCGTGTGTAAAGACAGTATCGAAAATAGCTATCATAGCGTTTTCGTATTGTTTTGGCATAGAACTATTTTCACCTAATTTTGATTAAACATAGTGAATATAACCTATCTTCCATGTAGTCGTAGTATTGGCTATATTTTACGTGTACAAGAAACGTAACGAACATAGCTTAGCACTCCGTGTGATTTTAATGGTGGCTATTTCATACTTACAGCGAACATAGCAAATACAGCTAGGATAGCGCTTTGCACGATCATAATATTGGTTGTTTTCGACGCGTATAGCGAACGTACCGGACATAGCTAACATAGGTATTTCTAACCAAATAGGATAGGAGCGTTCATTTTAATTTTCATCCGAACTAACGACATGTATCTTTTACCAGACTCGATGGCGTTACAAAATCAGTAAGAAAATAGTCTTGTCATCAAAGTTGCAGGAGTTTCGATTCAAACACAACGACGTGCAGTGAGTGGCAGCCTTAGACGCGAATGCGTTTTACTATCGGGCGATTATCACGGCCGACCGCTTTCGCGACTTCGATTAATGAAACCCGCCGAATCGGCGGTCGCGAAAGTCGCTGTCACCCCACGAACCTCCTGTTCTAATCCGAAACCGTACTTTTCCCCGACAAGGAAACGGAAGCCGTACCCGTTCGTTCCAAGGCTAGCGCGGATCGGCCGGATAATCGCCGCCGCACTTTGTTGGCTCTCTCGCGAGCCGCGATTGTAAAATTAAGAGCGTACAAAAAACAAACGCGAATCATTCCAACGCCGTCGGCCGGCTAGACGGTGCAGTAGTTGAAATTCATGCGGTCGCTGGTCGAGCGCGAGTAGGCTGGTTCTTGTGCCGAGGCGGGTTCCATCAAGGTTGATGTCCATCTCTTGCGGTGTTCTTACCTGGTCGGGTGTGCGCGGCGTTGGAAGCGGGCAGTGTCTGCCGTTTACCATGGCGTGATAGTGCTAATGGTGCGTGTGATCGTGCACATATTTGGAGAGAGATTTTGGCGGCGTGTGATGCCCCTGCACCAGTTGTGAGTACAATTGTGTGTGTGTGTATGTGTGTGCGACACGCTCGAGGGCGATTCATTCCGTTTGTTTACGTTCCGTGTTCCGCCTCGCTTCTAGCGAAACAATCGAGGCTTCCCAGAATTGTTCCACCTGTGGCTTTCCAGGGTAATAACTGCTTTCTTTCCCATCGCGGTACCATTTAGGGGTTATTGGGTGCTTGTCGTCTCGGTGAAAACTGATTTCGTTCGATTTGGACGGAGCCAATTTTGATCCTTTGCTGATATCTGTGCCACGCGTGTAAGCGGTGTTATCGGTCGTCAAAACAAAGGGATTAAGACAATCCAAAAGGTATTAGATCGGAATATGTGAGCGGAACAATTCTAATTCAATATGTAGGTTTCTGCGCAAAAGAATTATGATTTGCAGGAGTATTCACATAACATTGTCCTCGTGATTTCAAAACTGTGGTTAGAAAAACAATTTAGTATTGCATTTCGTAGATACTTAGAAGCCAAACTTATACATTTTTTTGACAGAACACCCTGTATATTCTTATAAATTTAGGTAGAGCGCTTCCTTGACATTGACATTGCAGTGACTTAATGTTTGATAGATCTATTTCTAACACTAATAGAGATATGGCCAACACAATCTGAAGAGTTTAGTGTTAACTTACTTATTGGCAAGAGCGATTTTACTTTCTATAGTAGTGTAGGGTACACATATAAATACCAATTTTTACTTCAGATTTAGGACTTAAACAGGTACTAAAATAGTTTATTTTCGAAAAATCTTTTCTATTATTAAAATCATGATGCAAGTCCATATGACACGTTACTGAAAACTTAAATGAAAACTTAAAGCATGGGCGTAGGGCGGCAGAGGGGCCTCGGCCTCCCTCTAATTATTGCTGAATGTTTCAAGTTTCAAAAAGTAGTTAAGTTTTAAAATTTTATATCGGTAGGTTGATAATTGCGTGATTTTTTTTAGAATGAAACGAAAAAGTGTATAGGCTTTGAAGTGCGTTTTTTTGGCCTGGGCCCATCCCCAGCAAAAACCCTGGTTACGCCCATGATGCAGAGAGTATGTTTTTAAAACTTTCTTTTTCAATTAGGCGATATTTTTTCAAATCTGTTGAGCATATTATTGATTATGGTATTTATTAACTACAAAATTGATCATAATTTTGTTTATTTATATTTTTCCAAAAAATCGAAGTGCTCTATATTAGAGATTATTAAAAAAACTTACAAAAAAGTACTCTTCTAAGTTAATAATTACGATACAAGATTTTAATATGTAGCTAAATTCCTAATAACATAGGGATACAAAAAAAAGTCCAAACCCAAGAGATCCACATATCATTTCGATGCTTTTTTAAAGTACGTAATTAGTTAAAGTAGAAAAACGACTAATTTTGGATTTTCTGAGAAATGTCGAGGTCAAAGGTAAATTTTACTAATGTCATCGTATTTAGCGCCTCAAAATATTACGAAAATGATATATTTGGATAAAATTTTGGAAAAAAATCTGTTTTGATCCATATTTGGGCCAGTTTACAACCAAATAGTGGATTTTCTTTGAAATATCGAGGTCATGGGTAAATTTTACTGATGGCATCGTCTTTAGCGCCTCAAAATACTACGAAATTGATTTGGACAAAATTTAGGGAAAAATATGTTTTGACCCATATTTGGGTCAGTTTTCAAACAAATAGTAGATTTTATTTTAAATATCGAGGTCATGGATACATTTTACTAATGGTATCGTGTTTAGCGCTTCAAAATACTACGAAATTGATGTATTTGGACAAAATTTAGGAAAAAATCTGTTTTGACCCATATTTGGGCCAATTTTCAACCAAACAGTGGATTTTTTTTTTAAATATCAAGGTCATGGGTAAATTTTACTAATGGCATCGTGTTTAGCGCCTCAAAATACTATACAATTGATACATTTGGACAAAATTTAGGAAAAAATATGTTTTGATCCATATTTGGGTCAGTTTTCAAACAAATAGTAGATTTTCTTTTAAATATCGAGGTCATGGGTAAATTTTACTAATGGTACTGTGTTTAGCGCCTCAAAATACTACGAAATTGAAGTATTTGGACAAAATTTAGGAAAAAATCTGTTTTGACCCATATTTGGTCCAGTTTTCAAACAAATAGTGGATTTTCTTTGAAATAACGAGGTCATGGGTAAATTTTACTAATGGCATCCTGTTCAGCGCCTCAAAATACCACGAAAATGATATATTTGGCCAAATTTTAGAAAAATTTAGGTTTGACCTATATTTGGGCTAGTTTTCATCCAAATAATGGACTTTCTGAGACATATGGAGGTCATGTTTAAATTTTACTATTGGCAACCTGTTCAGCGCCTCAAAATACCACGAAAATGATATATTTGGCTAAATTTTAGAAAAATTTAGGTTTGACCCATATTTGGGCTAGTTTTCTTCCAAATAATGGACTTTCTGAGACATATGGAGGTCATGTTTAAATTTTATTAATGGCATCCTGTTCAGCGCCTCAAAATACTACGAAATTGATTTGATGAACCCAATTTGAGGAAAAAATCAATTTTCACCCATATTCGGGTCAGTTTTCACTCAAAAATTTCACTTTTCTCCGAAATTCATGCAAAGTCATGAATTTTGACTACAGGATCGTGTTCAGCGTATCGAGTTCCCTCGGAAATGATATGTGGATCTCTTGGATTTGGACGTCTTTTTGTGTGCCTTTGTTATCTTTAATAACTGTTAAAAACTGGAAAATTAAAAAATAGTAACAATATTTTACCAAAATTTGAACAGACATGATCCATAAATTAAATGTTCTTTCTCGGTTAGTAGTTTGGAACAAGAGAACTTTTTCATAATATTTTTCTAATGTTTTTAATATAAAGTTAAAAAATTTTCCAAAAAGTCTTAAACAACTAAATCACAATTTACATTGAGAAAAAACTGTTTTATGAAAATAAATTTAAGGTTGTGGATATCTAATAAAATTGAGTTTTCGATTTAGAAATTAAAAATATCAAATTAATTTATTTAATTTTGGTAACCATATAGCTGGAAAACGACGGTCTTACCACCCCATGTTAATCTAATCATATAACCTTTACCATAGAAACCTAGCTGGACTTTCTACACATATTAAGGGAACACCCCGTATAAGTCAAACGTTTGTTTTTTTTTAACGGAACATTGTTACATATTTGAACAAAACACTTTCTCAGGATTACAGCGACATAAGATTTAATAGATGCATCTCTAGTAATAAGAGAGATATGATCAAAAGAGTCTACCTTAGGCATCATAATGTATGATGTTAAGCAGCAAAGACCGCTATGTTCGCTATATTTCCTTATAAGATTAAAACCAGTAAACATTACGATCTCGTAGAGCTAGCTGTGCACCAGTCACATCGAAGCACAGACATTTCTCGTCGCTGATGACAAGCGTTGCCCATGTAGTCTCTTTTTAACTGGATTTAGTAATATGTGGAGATAAAAAATAATAATTACGTCTTACGTAGAGGATTTATACAGGGGATAAGGAACTGTCCATAATAGTAGAACAAAGATTTCATTGAATATTGATATCAGAATGTACAAGATGACATATGGGTGAAAGTTTCTGAGGAATTGTCAAAAGAAATATGGAAGATACTATATTTTATTAAATATCTTTCATCACACATTGATTGTCAATTATACTATTTTTTTATTTAATTTGTAATTCCTTTTTTCACTTTTTCATGGCAACAAAATAAATAATTGCGGAGTTCTTTACTCGTTTGTTTCGACAAACTGATATTGCACAGCCACCTTGATCTGGCTGATTTTACGCGTATAAAATGTGTTTGTCCTTTAAAAACTCGAAAAAAAGGAACTTCTGGTGCAATATCGTTATGAATTTTAATTGAAATTTTAATTTGTTTTAACTTCGCGAACAAAAAAGGTAAATTTAAGAATACAAGGCTGAAAATAAAAGGATGCCATTGCTGTCTTGATGTTATAATGTGGAGTGACAGGCCATCCTTATGGCCATCACCCTGTATATAAAACAGGACCTATATCTGTTTCACTTTCCGTTTGGCGACAAGCAATTATAGCAATGTTTGCAATTATGTTAATGTAAATATTTTTCTATTTTGTAATTAACTTTCCAGGCAAGGCCGGTGGTAATAAAAACTAGAAGTGCCTTTAATCAAGCACGAAGCACATCATATGAGTCGCGACATTGTTTATAAGATTATCTCATTGTATGTACATATAGCGATCATATGAACCTCATCATCGACCAGATAAGGCAGCATGGAAAGATGCGAAGAAAATGCGGTGTGGCAACGAAAATTTATACGATTCAAGGTCTCGTCTTACGTATCAGAATGAAACAAATAAAACCTACTTGGTATAATTTTGCTTATTTATACAATAAATGTTTTGCTTGCCATGTCGGCAAATGTTTGAGGTAGGATTACTGTCTGGTTGTTTCTGTGGGATCAACAGTATTATTATTATAAAAACAGTACTACTAAGGTAGATGTACAGGATGTTTCAAGATTACTTCGTCAAATTTCGAAAATGATTTGTTTTCGAGATATAGTTAAAAATATATATTATGTATTTACTTACAAATTTTTTTTGCCGCAGTGGGCAACACTGAGTGATTTACTTCGATATGTGGCGGGATAAGTGCAGTGCCAATAGAGTCATTTTAATCACAAAAATACAACAGAAAAAGCAGAATGTTGGCATTAATTAATTTGACGAGTTTACAATTTGTTAAAAGAATGAATTAAATAAAAATGATTTAGATATGATTATTATTAACCTAAAAACTAACAACAGAATCGATTTTTAACAGTTATTTATCTATCTTGTTTTTTATGCATACTTCAAAGTAAAAGCAACAATTTTTAAATGAATTTACGTTTACTTTTCTCATTTCGAAATGCGAATAAAAAATTTATTTAAAATTTCTAAAATTCTAACATAAAAAGAACATGTTACT